ACGGGGCGGTTCAAGAACACATCCGGGGATTTGAACTTGACTTTGGTAGATGTGAACTTTGAATTGGAACATACTTGGGCAGTGACTATGGCGTACAGACAAGCGCTGTGTCCCAATGTGAAGGCTGCATCCTCCGAAGTCTGTATTTGAAGGCCGATTGCACCACAGCCGCACGACGAAGGCTGTCCCAATTCAAAGGCTGCACCCTCCGAAGGTTGCATTTGAAGGCCGATTGCGTCTTCCAGCACGATGAAGGCTGTCCCATTTCAGTTATGCAACATCCGAAGGCCGTATTCGAAGGCTGGTTGCGTCATTGCGCCGCGACGAAGGCAACCCTGATTCAAAAGCGACGCCAAATGCACCCTTGATTTCACCATGAAAGAGAGGATACATAAATGAATCCTAACTGATCCTACATGGTCTATTCTACCCCATAAGTCATTGCGCTGGTGACAACAGTGTTTTTATTTTTTTTTTTAAAAAAGGGCGGCTGAGAGTTCAGTGGTGGACGGCAAATTCACATTTAAACATAAAAGTATTGTTTTCATTAATCAAATAGCCAGAGAAACCAGTGTTAAAAGCCAAAAGTTTTTTTTTACTTCTTCTTTTTTTATCAACTCATTCGTCAACATTGTGTGGCTTTATTTGTCTTGTGGAAACGTGAAAACGAAAAAAAATACATTTCTTTACATTATCATTCATAATTTATTATTTTATGCAACTTTAAATTATTTTAATTTGATTTTTTTTTATTTGATTTTTTTAAGATGTGTTCTTCCATTTCAGTTTCCACAAATCCCTTCACTCGATTGGGATGTTCTCTTGTGTTCTGGGTGGCAATTGCAGTAACTGTAACATATAGGGCATATTTTTTAGAATTAAAAATATTTATACCGACTTCATCAGGCTCCGAAAATTCTTCACAAAGAACACAAAGAATGGCCTTATCAGCTGCCTAGCTGCATCAGAACAGTCAGCGCATCACCGTTTAAAAAAAAATCACAAAAAATCACACTTCAAACCACGACTTTGTAGCATTCCAAGCCAGTCACGCCAAACTACCTGAGCGCAAGGATTTGTGGTAGCCAGATGTAAACAAACCAGCATGGTGGACCTTAGGGGGCTTATGTGCATGTGTAATAATTTCTGTCACCAATGGTGCTTATACTTCTTGTTCATTTGAGGAAAATGCCGCGTTCCAAGCAACATGTAACCAGTGTTTTTCCAACATTATACCTGTGAAAGTGCATTGGAATGGGAGCCAAACCTGTGTACTCGTACTAGATCGATGTACTAGATCGATCCAGTTACGAGTTCTGACATCACATAGCCCACAAAACCATAAACAACAATGGCAGACCCTACGGATGCAGTGTTTCTGCAGGCGGTACATGGTGTGAATACACTTTAGGACAATATAACGTTAATTCATTTTCAGTCCATTGAGTGCAAGGATAAAATAATACCAAATACATTTCCAAATATACAAATTAATTTAAATAAAAGGTATAACAGCTTATCTTGCCTTATGCGCTGTTTTTCCTCCTCTGTTTCCCTCAAATAAACAAGGAGTAAGCACTTTTGGCGACAGAAATTATTATAAGCCCTAAGGTCCCCCATGCTGGTTTGTTTACATCTAGCTACCACAATTCCTTGCGCTCAGGTAGTTTGGCGTGACTTAAAAACTTGCCTGGAATGCAGCATAAGTTCCTGTGTTTTCAATGTTCGTTGTTCTGTCTCCTTATTGTGTTGTGCTGTTTTTATGTGAGTTTCATCATCTGTGAGCTATATTAAAATAACATTTACCCTTCATCGTAGTGTTTGTGATCCCTACAACCCGTGACAGTTGGGGGCTAATCATGTAAATGCCTGTTCTTGGAAAAATGAGAAAGTCCTTGGGGGTCTCATTACAATGACCACATGTCTTGCCTTATAAGATTCATTATTTAACGAAAAACAAACTTCATATATTTTGGTCCATCTGGAAAGTGTTTTAGGAATTTTTAGAAAACCTTAATATTATTTTATAGATCTAATATTTGGTATAAGATAGATGTATTTTATACATGGAGATGTTTTTTTATATATATATATGTGGGAAGTCATGGCCTAATGATGTGTGTTCAAACTTACAGTTCCTAATGTGTGTGACTGTGCACTGACTTGGATGGGTTTAATGCAGAGGGCAAATTTCAATTGTATAGTAAAATTTCAACAAATTGAATAACAATCCTTACATATTATTTATATTATGAAATTTTAATGTGTAAAAAAAAAAACAAGAGCTTGGATAAAACAAGTATAGGAGCAAAGGAATGGATCATTTGGTTTATGTGATTCATATTATAGATGTATATTAATTTGAGCTGAATAAAGACAAAATGATCTCGCTGCTGCTTTACAGCAGATCTGAACTTGTCTCAAGTTTGAAGTTTGCATGAAGTTATTTGTATTTATTTCCTATTTATTATTGTGAAGCTTATTTGAAACTATTACTATTGTAGCCTATTATAAGAGCTATAAAATTCGACTTGAATTCACTTAGGCCATTTCAGTTAGCAGCTATGTAATTCACCTTGTAATTAATACTTTATTATTATTATAAATATGATAAATTATAAAATAAATTAATAAAAAATTAACCTACACTTACTTAGATTCAATCTTAACGTTATCTTATAAGCAAACAAGTGCAAGAGAAAAGTATTGCCACAATTATTTAGCATATTGCGTTTCGAGCACAATGGTGACAGATGGATTCCAATTGTTTCTTTGTGGCTCTGTTATAAGTGTTGTCCAGTGAAGGGGAAACCTCCATAAAATATCTTAACTTGCCGTGGCGATCTCAGAGGCTCCCTAAACGCATTTTAATAGGGGCTTAAGTCAGCAGGGGCAATTCAATGGCCAGCTTTATTTAGTCAAAAGAGTTACGACCGTAATTGTGTCCCGTGGAGGCGACACGCATATGGCGCTGTCTTATTGTGTGCAATCTAAACGCAGACAGGAGAACTCCTGGGACTTCATCTCCCTCCGGCTGCCATTGCAAAATCAAGCCATTGATGTTGCATTGGGATACCCTGCTATCACAATAAGCTATCACATGTGCTGATGAGGGGTTCACAACTATTTGACATTGGCTAATCCTATAGAAAACCCTTTAAATATCCTGAATCTTTACATAAATCCTATTTGAAAAGAACAGTTTTACACCTGGCACAGTAGGCTAGACTCCAGAAGAGAAAAGGGCACAACAGAAATGTTGTGCTGTTGACACGTCTCGTAAATTTAACAGTTGACAAATCACCATTAATGCTTGGTATAGTTTTTTTTAAAGGGGTAGGGGGGTCGGGAGGGAATGTCATTGTCTAGTGGGAATTGCTATTGCCACAGTTGTCTTTGGGAGAGTTCTGGTTGCAAATAAACTGAGGCACAGGTGGATCATGAAATACAGGAAAACGGTCAATTTCTTCTGGAATAGTGAGCACTAGGTCTGGGAATTTTTTGTCAGTTTGCAAAGGAGGACATGGCTTGGTGGATGTCAGGAGTTGTATATGTGTTTTCAGATTACAAGCAGCAGCAGCAAAAAAAAAAAAAAAAAAAAGTAAACCAGAGTGGCAGAGACCAGGGTTTGAAGAGACAATGATTGGTTTTGCACCGCTAATGTGTGATGAGAATGTAGGTGAAGTTGCTGACTCAATCCAGAATTTGTGGACTCTTCAATTAGATTATCTGGAATGTGCTTCAAAAAAAGGCACTTTATCACACCACAGAAATCACTAAAGAGGCAAAAAGCCTTCGGATGGTCAGTGGCCAACCTGTAGAGAAGTGAACTGTTGATGTACAATGAGGATTATTAATGCAGCGTTAGCTATGAACAGACATGTGGCACACCTGAATCCAGCAGTGGGTGAGCATTGTAGGTTTTTGCAGTCTTACATATAATGTATACTTTTTGTGAGATATGGTGTATTAATACAGTTCTGTTGTACATGATGATAAATTGGTTGGCTTTTTTACCTTAATGAATTTTATTTATTTTGTATTTAATTGCTTTTCAATGATTTTTGTAATATGTTTGAATGAAATAATACAATATCTGTAAAAAAAAAAAAAAAAAAAAGTTTTCTACCCCTAAGGGGCCCCCTCAGGAAATAGTTGGCACTAAAATACTTGCTTTGTGGCATTTCTTAAAGGATCATGAAACACAAAACCAAATTTTCTGAGATTTTAACAGAGGTATGTGTGTTGAACACCATTGAAGACAATGTTAGCATCTTTTAGATTTAATATAACAGGGTTAAAATGGTTAAATTTGACCTTTTTTTCAACTTTTTTCCTCTTCCGGGTTTAAAATCTTCATCGTGTCCACGTCACCGGCTGTGACGCAGAGCTATCTTTATTATGAGGGTTCAGGGGGCGCGTAGACAATGATTTTTTAAGCGGAAAATTTATATTTTTTTCTGAAATGCATTTATAGTGTCTATATAAACCACTATATATTTTATAATGGCATTATAATTATACATGTAGCCTACATTAATATTTTTTAAATAGAATTACGATAGCTGTAGGCTAATATATGTAGCAGGGCATTCAGTTACTTTTGAAAGGACAATAATAAAGTGTCAGTGTATTTCATAAGACTTTAACTTTGCCAGCTATATATAAAAATCTAGCATTTCCTCACGTTTTACCATTGTTTTTTAGTGACAGTCGATATGCATGGGACATTGACAGTGATGGCCACACCACACCCACTCCCTTCTTCTCACAGCTAGCCACACCCACTTAAGTTTCATTTTTCAAAAAGATTGTGTGCTAGACTTGAGCTGAAAGAGGGGGGTTTCATGATCCTTTTAAGAGCTTTTAAATGACCTTTTTTTTCAAAGCAGGGATTAGTCACACTTAATCTCATTTGCATTAAGATGTCTATAAACCACCCATCCAACGCAGTTTTCTCGAGCTGCGCATAGAGCTGACAGTGTGTGCACCGAGAGACAGCTTTTTTCCTCCTGGCTTCAGAGAAACAAAATATGTGTTAATTTGACAACTTTTGGCTTTAAAATTTTTTCCTCAATTGAAATTACATACACAGCGGTAACTACTTGACAAACCATGATGGGAGGGACTCCTAGCAGTCGGGTTTTGTGCCATTGGTGGACAGTGGTTGCCTTTGTAGTGCCTTTTCTGTCTACTTTATCTGTGGGAATGGTCATGAAATATCAGACTTATGAAGAGGATGCTTTATTCACTGTCATTGGAAACTTGGCCAAGGACATGAGCTTAAATCCCTCAGATGACGCTAAGACCAATTTCAAAATGATGAAGCAGTTCAACGCATCTTTTATTAGGCTCCGAGAAAAAGACGGACAGCTAACAGTTGGAGAACGGATAGACAGAGAAAAAATATGTAAGAATGTGGTCCAGTGTCTTGTTGCATTTGACGTTGTCAGTCTCTTGAATGAGCAATTTAAATTAATTCACATTGAAGTGGAAGTAAAGGACATCAACGATCACGCTCCTGAGTTCTCTAGAAAGGAATCAACTTTGGAAATTTCAGAAAACACAGCAGTTGGCACTAGAATATCTTTAGATGTTGCATTGGACGAGGACGTGGGTTCAAACTACATTCAAAGCTACCAATTATCTGTCAACAGTCACTTTACTATTGACGTGTTAAGCAGAGCTGATGGGGTTAAATATGCGGAGTTGGTTCTAATGAAAGAACTAGACAGGGAGACACATGCCTCCTATGTTTTGGAGCTCGTCGCAACAGACGGAGGAAATCCATCAAGGTCCGGCACCACAAATATCAATGTCAAAGTAAAAGACTTTAATGACAATAGCCCTGTGTTCGACCGGAACAATTTTTCAGTTGATATACTGGAGGACTTGCCGGTGGGGTTTCTGCTTTTGGACTTAAATGCGGTTGATCCAGACGATGGATTGAATGGGGAAGTTGTGTATGGGTTCGGAAATCAGGTGCCCTTGGAGATCCGACAACATTTCAACATTGACCGAAAATCCGGGCAGTTGACGCTCCAGAGCCCGATTGATTTTGAGAGCAAGAAAACATATGAGTTCGATATACAGGCATCTGACTTGGGTCCTAATCCGAGCCCATCCATCTGTAAAGTTGTTGTTCATGTGCAGGATGTCAATGACAATGCACCAGAAATCACAATTACACCACTACATTACATCACCATTACCTCTGTCACAGCTGAAATAGCATACATCACAGAGGATGTTGCTGAAGAAAGCTTTGTGGCTCTGATCAGCACCGCCGACAGGGACTCGGACGCAAATGGACAGATTCACTGTGCCCTCTATGGGCACAACAACTTCAAACTCCAGCGAGCCTACGAGGACAGTTTTATGATTGTAACGACATCTCCACTTGATAGAGAAAAAACTGCGGAGTATAACTTAACGGTTGTTGCCGAAGATCTGGGATCACCTCCCTTAAGAACAATTAAGCAATATACTATAAGGTTGAGTGATGAGAATGACAATGCCCCTGTCTTCAGTAAACCTGTCTATGAAGTGTCCTTAGTGGAGAACAATGCACCAGGTGCATATATCACAACTGTAGTGGCTAGAGACCCTGACTTAGGGGAAAACAGCGAAATCAGCTATAAGCTCCTGGACACCTATGTCATAGGCTCTCCGGTGTCAACTTTTGTCTCTCTAGATCCCACAACGGGCTCGCTCTATGCGCTCAAAAGTTTCAACTACGAGGTCCTCAAACGGCTACAGCTTCGTATTCAAGCAAGTGATGGAGGCTCGCCACCACTCCAAGGCAGCGCAATCATCAATCTAAAAATAGTTGACCAGAATGATAACGCTCCCTCTATAACACAGCCTGTGCTAACTAATAGTTCTGCTGAGGTTCTACTACCCAAAAACGCGCCTTCAGGTTACGTTATTACCCAGATACATGCTAAGGATGCTGACGAAGGTGTCAACGCAGAATTGTCATTCAGAATCTCAGAGGGTGTCTCCTCTGTGTTCTCCATTAACAGTGCCACCGGAGAAATTTATCTGAATCGTGAACTCAACTACAAAGTTTACGAGAACTTGAGAATAACAGTAAGTGTCAGTGACAACGGGAGACCTTCACTTACTACAGTGGTCTCAATCGATATCAAGATCATTGCAGGATCTCTTCCCAGTGACCGCAATATATTCAGGCAGATAACTGACGAAAAAATTATTGAAGGGGATCATTCACTCGTTATAATTGTGGTACTGGCAGGGAGCTGCACACTACTACTTTTAGCCATTATTCTCATTGCAACTTCTTGTAATAAACGAAAGGGGAATAATCGAGGAGACAGCCATTCTGGAAACGAGGACAGAGTTAAAGCGGACCACAATGACCCACTAATTCCAATTCACAGTGGCATTGGGTTTGATATTCAACCGTACTCAAAAATGCCAACTTTTTCTGGCTTTATCCAGACAGGCATCGATATTTCGTGCAGCTCTGAAGATGGTAGGCCTACGTGTGTCTTTGATCTAAAGGACAAAAGCCACAGAGTCAAGTCAGAAGTAAGTTATAGGCAAATGTCTTGCACTTTGAGATTCCATCTGATATCGTTATCTGGTTAATATTCTAAAGTTTTTTGTTGTTTTTTGTTTATAGGATTATTCCACTCTACCTGGTTATGGTAAAGATGCTCTGAGACTTACTAAAATTTGGAAAAGCACCTCAACTATATCAGCACAAGACCCTCAATTCAGTAGAAAGGACAGCTACAATGGAGAGAGCGACTTCAATGACAGTGATTCAGAAACAAGCGGCGATGGACCGAGAAAATACAATCATCAAAACAACGTTCAAAATGGTAAGCCTAAGCATCAGTGGCGTCTAAATATGTGTGTTTCCATGTAGTGTAAAGTGAGAGCGAATTACGGTTCAAGCTTTTTTGTGAGAGCTTTTTCACTGAGAGCAATAAGCCAGTTTTATGTTTGCTCAGATATTTTTTAATTACCTTAAATATATTGGAAAATATTCTGGAGTCTATGTAAAAGAGCTGAGACTAAAATGTCAACAAATTGAAATTAAGATTATATTCTGGAGTCTATGTAAAAGAGCTGAGACTAAAATGTCAACAAATTGAAATTAAGATTAAAAATAGTTTAAACCAAATAAACAATTAGAAAACTATTATATTGGTGTATAATAGCATATCGAATTGTTATCATTCTAGATAAATGTCTCCTAAAGAGTAATTTGTGTGACAATTTACAAGCTTAAATGAACACATGACAATTATTTGATAACTTTTGCTTCCGTATATTAGCTGCAGAGAGAATCAGCACTGCTTGTTTTATGATTTCCTCACTTATTTAACTGTTACTTTTTGGATAAGCATGTTGTGATTTTTTTTTTGCAGGTAGATATATATATAAATATATATATATAGATAGATAGATAGATAGATAGATAGATAGATAGATAGATAGATAGATAGATAATTTAGTAGCGAAAAAAGCATCTTTGCATATAATATCAAGTCTTAAAGACATAGCAAATAACCTATATGAGAAATATGGTTTTATTGAGAGAGAAGAGATGTACTGCCTGTTTTAACATCAGCTGACACACTGTATATGGTCTAGTAAGCATTTAATACCTCTCCGTTGTCGGTTTTCATGGACATGGCTTATACCTACTGATAATGGTCTTCTTTTTGTTCCTCAAGGTCTGTGGGCATGCACAAGCAAGTGCAAGGTTTTGGGCCATTCAGATGACTGCTGGTGTCCAACTGCTGCCATGACAAACAGCAATTTAGCACATTCCTTTGCTAAGATGGGTATACTTCAACGAGACACTCAAAGGATGGAAAACTACCAAGCCCACATTCCAAAAACAAAGGGATTGCAGAATGTCTGTGAGAAAGTAATGCAAAGAGAATATGACTATATAACTATAGTTAATTCACCTCAACAAGTCAGGGTACATGAAATGAACAATATTACAATTCCAGTGTATTCACCAACAGAAACACATTGTTCCATACATGAAGTGTAATCTGTTGGCTAAAAAACTTGTTTATTGTGTGGGCATGTGTGAAAAGTGTGATGGTCTTGTTGAGTTTTTTTGAGTTTTTTTGAGTTTTTTTATTTTTTTTTACACAGTCAGTTGACCTTGTAGATAATATTTTGTTTAAATTTTTCTGAAAAAGCTGAGTATATTTTTTTTATAATGCCACTGACAAATAAAAACAAAAGATGACTAAAATGATATTGATATTGCTTGATTTGAAAAGCATGTTGATATATTTTTCATGTTAATATATTTATTTGTATATTATGTCTGTAATGTTAAGAAAATAAATGGTGCATTTGAGTTGCATTTGGTCAAATGTCTCATTTTACTTATTATTTTGACTTATTATTATTAATTTTCTTGAATCTTAAGGAATATTTTTGTTTTCTTTTATTTATATTTGTAATAATAATTTTATTAGATATCTGATACTATTTATATTCAGAACTGATCATAAAAATCTGTAATGAGATGTGTCAGTAATGCACATGGTGAATTTCCAGACCCCTTGGCATGGTGTCTGATATGACAGTGTATCACAGTCAAATAATCCATATTTTGAATCTCGATTGTATTAATTAATTTTCCTAGAACACACACACACACACACACACAATGTGGTTTGGATGGTGCTGATCCTCCTACTAATATGGCACTTAGTCTTAGAGATCAAACATAACAATCTGGGGCTCAGGTCAGGAAGTAGACAGACTGGCTAAACCGACCATCTTCTCGCTGTCTCATGTCACTGAGGTCAGATAAATCCCATCACATAGAGACTCTTTCACCTAGATATCATCACATAGAGACTGTGTCTGTTCCCCGAACTAGGAAAGACAACAAAATACTCCCAAACCCATTTAAGGGTAAAAATTTGATTGACATTTAACAAATTAAAAACAAATATAATGCAGATGAACAAATGATAAAGCTTGGGTTTCTGAATATTTGATCCCTTTCTTCAAAAACACTTTTTGATCATTTTTAATGATATGATTACAGACCATAACCTAGATGTGCTGTGTTTGACAGAAACTTGAGCAAAACCTGACAATTACATTACATTACATTCTGAGTCCACCCTCGATGATTACTGATATAAACACAAGGCTTTATTGCTGTAATTTATAGCAATATCTTCAGTATTACTCGAAAGTCTAGTTTCAAATATAAATATAGCTCCAAGCAGTGATGACGGGCCCAAGCCGGTGGCACCACAACCCCGGTTCCTTTAGTTACCTAAAGGCACCGGGGTGGCGGTGCCGCCGGCTTTGGCCCTTTCATTGCTGCTCGCATCTATATATATATATATATATACATTTTTTTAAGGGCAAGACAGGATATTATTTGCCTAATCTTATAAGAACAATAATGTCTGTGTGTGTGAGGCGTGATTGAACAATGGAGACATAAAAACATACTGTACTCTGTCCTTTTGTTCATGCTGGAAATTATTCAAACTGGAATATACAGTATATATTTGTGTACACTCGCAATATTAACTCAACATTGTGCTTGTGTCAAACTAAACTCTTTTCAAACTGTAACCTACAACTGTCAAGCAACCAAAATCTCTCTCTCTCTCTCTCTCTCTCTCTCTCTCTCTCTCTCTCTCTCTCTCTCTCTCTCTCTCTCTCTCTGCCATATTTTGGACACATTGGCTTTAATTTCTTGTCTTGGAACAGAGCCCTAATCTGTTTATTTTTCAGTTACACATTATACGTTGATTAAAAAAGAAAAATCAAATGTGTTTTTATTTTATACAGAAATAAATTATTTATAATTCAGCTGAGAATAAAGTTAAGGTTAGTTCAAATTTTAAGAAAAACAAATATATGATCTGAAATATTGCATACCAAAAATGCAATCTTAATTTAATTTAAAGCAAAAAATACATCTAAAATATTTGGGTTGTATGCATATTTTGCTAAAAAAAGAAAATATATATCCAGAATGACAAGGCATTAAGCTTTAACAAGGGTGCAACTCTTATCACTGCAGCAAACGTAGTTACACATACAAGACACGTCACTTACATATTAGATGCAATATTGACTTTTTTTCTGTTTCAGCAGAGAAAATAGTTAGACAAACATCACAGCGAACCATTGCGCATCTCAAAGCAATGTGTTTTTTCATTACTGAATGATTCATCATTTTGAACAAATGAATCCATGACTCGTTCAGTAAGACGGTCGCCTGGCGACACCTTACGGTCGCCTGGCGACACCTGACACCTGATCGGGCCAATCAAATTGCCAGGGTGGGCTTTATACGATGATGGACAGGTGATCTTCAGGGACGTAAACATCACGTTATCAAAGAGCGCTTAACTGGTTTCCCTCAGAGATGACCGCAGCTGGAGAATTGAGATGTATAGATTCCGCTATCGTATCTGTTGTAAAATAAATCAACAGAATGAACAGAACAGACGAACAGAAAACTGCAATCATGACATTTGTCTATCGGAAATATTTTTTGCTGTCCTTCCTACATGATTTGGCAAAAGTGTAACTTATCAGCTGGCTCTGATGGTCGCTAAGAAGATGGGACGTAATGAAAAGCCTTGGTCGTTGTGGTTTCTCCTTTGGTCGCACTCATGGAGGACCAAGTAAAAGAAGCAACACTCGTTATTTTACTTCTAAAATAAAAAAGTTCTGTAGTTGACAACTGTGCTATGCAAAGTAGTTCAATTACTGCGTTGCTCTGATTGGTTGTATGTCTACTGACTATCAAATTGAGTGCAGAGGTTTTTTTTTTCCTGGTTCGGTTAAGATACGCCTCATAATCAAAGCCCTATGGAGCAGTTTCAGACTCACATTCTGACTAGAATATGAGTATGACAAAGTCAGGTTAATGAAAATAGAAACAAGTAGGTTAAAATGATTAATGATTGTGACTAATCGAAATGACAGATAGAGTATGGCAAGCCGTTTGCCATACTCTATCTGTCATTTCGATTAGTCACAATTACATTACAGATTTCTTAAATGATAATACAAACTATCCAAAATGTACTTTGTAATTACGACTAGTCAGAAAGACGTTGTTGATATCTACAATGCTAAATCCGGATAGTCAAACTTAGCTTTTAAATGTTAAAAGGGCTTGCCATACAGAGACGTAGGCTCAGAGAGTGACTCACCATTTTCACACCAAAATATCTGACTTTTTGTTGGTCGGAGCTAATAATTGTCAATTAGAAAGTTGTCTGGCTTGAGGAGAACAATATACATACCGTTTTTTGTAACTGTAGATAAAACTTATCCCCCCACTGTTGACAAAAGGTGGTGCTACTGAGCCCTCACCACGCCCTTTTCTGAAACTTTGCACGTCCGCTGGCTAAGAAATGTAATATGTCTGTCGAGTTTTATGCAATTTCAAGCATGCTAAGAGTCTCAAAAGCATCAAACAAGAATATTAAAGTTTGATCTAAGATATAATCTTTTCACAGGTCTATATCTGCCGCGTGTTTACATTATACACATAAAGTTTGATGCAAATCGGGTAAAAATAAGAGGGTTATTTCAAAGAATTTTAAAAGTGACACACTTCCTGCTGCCAGTTGGTGGCGCTATAGCTTTGACTTACTATAGCCACCAGTGATGCACGGGTTGATCCGAAATGAGCGGGTGCCTGCGGTCACCCGCGGTTACCCGCAGTTACGGGTCATCCAAAAATGTTTTTAATTATATTCGGGTCGCGGTCGGTCGGGTCGTTTGAAAAAAGATGCCAATTAAACATTTGTATTAATATAGTACTAGACACAATTTTTGATGAAATATACAGCCCTACACATTATTGGCTGAATAACTGGCACGAAGATAACACACAAGCTCAGTCTAAACAGTTCTCGGTTCTATACTGGTGATTCGAGAACCTCTGTCCCTGTGCGTTCGGTAGTAGCCTACGCAGTATCTATGCGCAGTATCAGCTGCTCGTGCTTATCACTTCTCTCAACAGTGGCACCAACATGTCTCGGTTCAGTGAACTGTTGGAGTTACTGGAGTAAAATATAATTCAGGATATTGATTTAAAGTGAGTAACTTTAGTAACTTGTGGTTTAGCGCTGACGCAAGACGCGAACTGTTTCGAACGATTCAGTTCGATTTAGTGTACTGGTTCGACCGGTTCACTAAAAAGAACCGGTTCAAAAGAACGATTTGTTCACGAACCAGCCATGTCTATGATCACTACAGTCTGCAGAGAGATGGAGGCGGCAAGAGAAAAGCTGAAGACTGGGGAGTGGAAGCTCCGCAAATACACAAATAGAAAGAGTAAAAGTGTGGGAGACATTTGCTAAAATAATGAAAGATGATGACTGGCTTTGCCTTTGTTATGTGTAGGCCTACGTCTTCTTGCGATGCTGTGTTGTTACACGTCTATGGCCCAATAATGCTCCGATGAGCATTTACTACTTTTAAAAAATGCGGTCAGGAAGCGGGTCGGGTACAATATTTTTTTTACTTTTTTTTTGCGGTCCGAGTTGCGGGCGGGTAGTTGAAAACGTCGGTCGGTTGCGGGTTGTTTATACATTGACCCGCGCATCACTGATAGCCACATCCGTGTGACCCGCCTCTCACCACGAACGCACTGCAGAAGTTTCACCAAGATCAGTTAATGTATAAAGAAGTTATAACATACTTCCTGTTTCACGTTTTGCGGCAAACCGTTCGAGATATCAAAAGTCCCCTCGCAAACTTTCATTCTCAATGTCTTGATTTCATGCTGACCGAGTTTCGTGCCGTGTGTTTGAATTCTCTTGGAGGAGTTTGATTTATGGACCAAGTTTTCGGAGCCCATTGCAGCCCCCCTGCCACGCCTGGGTGCCAGATTCATCCCGGCCCTGATGACCGCGGATTCTGACCCATGTGCAAAGTTTAAAGAGTTTTTGAGCACGTTAAGGGCCCCAAAAGTGCCCAAATAGTCAATGTAACATTTAAAAAATATAGCTGCGAGCAACGATTGCGGGCCCAAGCCGGAGGAGGCACCGCCGGTTTTGGCCCGCAATCGCTGCTCGCAGCTATATTTATTTAAATA